CTCTTGCATGCGCATTTCCTCATAAATTCATCGAGTCTACATTCCTCAGAGGTAAAATCTTGGTTTGATCAAATATGAATGGCATATAGTGAAAAGAGGATAATTAACAACCCACGCTTTGCGTAGGCCCATATTCATCAAATCAGAGTAAAATATATATATAAAAGCAGAAAGTAGAATATAATGATACTTCCGTTTTGTAAATTTTATTACCATTTAACAGTAAAATTTTAAAAGTCTTTCTTGACATACATAAGGGACAAACTTACGGAAGTTGAAAACAAAAAAAAAAAGAAAAGAAAGGAAGAAAAAAAATATTCTGGACATATAGGTCGCTAAGCAGGAAATCGAGAAATATAATACAGGAACCTGTATATATCTTTCACATGTGCTCTTCCGTTGGACCAATAATATATTCCGTTCCTCTCCTTTTACTTTGCGGTCGCAACTAATTAACTTCCTAATGTGTTTCTTCTGACCAAAAACTACATCTGGTTCACATTTCCCATAAATTTTCTAACTAATAGTGTTTGCTTGGAGTATATTTTTGAAATGATAAATAAATAATGTATGAACAAATACTTGAAATTTATTGTATTTTAACTAAGTTCGGCATATGTATATTTTGAGTAATCTGCATATAAACATTCTATAAAGTTATCAATAAAAATAAAAAGAATTTATTCTTTTTTTTGGATTCTTTCGAATTCAGAGATTTGTCTAAAGAACTTTCACACCTAAAAAATAAAATATTTTTCCTTTTAGTAGATATATTGTATTGTGAAAAATATTGAAAATGTTTTTAAACATTTTTTTCACGTATTTATGCAATAGTGATTTTTAATTTTTGTTTTATCTGCAGAAGATTCAAATATATTCAAAGTGTTGCATTGCTATAAATAAACTACAGACATTCCAAGGATTGTAATGACGTGATGACCTTGATTGATTCGACAAGGCTGTCAGAGGGTTCGATATGAAAGTTAGTAGACAGGTGATCTTGGAACAACTGTATAGAGAAAGATGCGACTTTTATTTACGAACTATGTTCATTTTTCTATTTACTTCAAATTTAACATCGGTGAAATTCATCTCGTTTATAGTCAACCATTGAATAAAAAAAAAAAAATAATAATAATAATTTCACATGCTGAAAATAAAAAAATTTTTGTCTTACAATTTTTTTTTAAATCATTAATCGAGAAACATTGCAAAAATATTTTCATTCAAAAAATTATAATAATTTGCAAAAAAAAAATTTTTTTTTTTTTCTAAATTGTTGATCATATAAAAATTTTGAACTTCACTGTCGTTAAAATAAAAATCAAATCTTAAAAATAAAATTAAATGATTGAAATTTATATATACTTTGAATTTCTATTTAGCAGAAATTTGTAAAGACACTTTTTCGACTCCTGCGTTCGTACCAAAAAAACTCGTTAAAATGCATTAGACATAATCGGCTGTCGACGGATACAATAGACATTTTTGTTTTTGATTGCCGAAATGAATGCCGCTAATCAATTATTCTTTACGTTTACAACGTATTCTCATAGACGTGTGGCATCCATCTTCATGTGAGGGGGGGGGGGGGTAGTCGATAGAACGTCTTTAAATACATATTAATTGCGAACAATAAAATAGTCGCATTGATGTAAAATTCTATTATACTTTTTACATTATTTTCAGTTTGTTGATAATTTTGCCTTTAAGAATTGAACCAATCGGAACGTGCCACAATCATTGAGACGTGTGTCACATAAAAACAAAAGAATATAATTCTTTTCTCAATGGCTCATTTGTTTTAGTAAACTTTAGGTAGGACTAAAATAAATTAACTTTTACTTTTCTTGATATGATTGAACAAATTGAAACAATGTAATTTTTGATTACATTCATTATTGAGCCTTTTTAAATTATAATATTTATATTAAATTAAAAGTTTTAATTAAAAATTAAACTTAATTTTTGATAGTTCTTACAAGGAACACTAATACCCAGGTGTACCTCACTATTTGCAACTGAAAAAAGAAGAAAATTCCTACTCATTTACGTAAAAATTACAAAAAAACGATTTTTGGGGGTTAACTTTGGGGGTGATTTTCACACCTTAGATGTGCGATAGGGCACTTATAAAAATTTATGTATTTATTTAAATTTTAATTATTAAATTTCGATTATTTGATTTAATTTAAATGTTTTTCCTTATGAAAAATTAAAATCTGAAATTATTACTAGGCATAAATGTTTGATAGTTTGCTGGCAACGGAGTTAGATTGCGTTAGATAATTATAGAAGCCCATTTATTAATTTATGACAGAAAAGATGAAATTTATATGGTACTTGTAAATTTTCATCTTGTCAATTATATTATTAGAAATTAAGTTTGCCCTTCTTCTCAGAATATATATACATATATTTTTTTATATGCTAAAATATATAGATACATCATTTAGCAATAATAATTCATAAATATATTGTTCATGCTATCTTCACAAAGGTGCGATAATTATAGTTAAAATTGTAGAGCATTGTAAGATGTTGTTTGCAATTATTATATATATATACACTCATAAATAGAAAACAGTGAATTCACAGAATTTCTTTAATAAGTGTGTAATTATTGCTCATAATTACAGTGTTTTTACAATGATTTTTAATTACACTCTATATATATATACCCTTAACAAAATTCAAACAACGTTTATTCGCCGATTAATTATTTATTATCCGTTATTATTTTCTAGGGTCTGATTATTTTGCAGAATTTTATTTCACTTAAAATTTTTTTTAAATATCATTATTTTTTATCAATGTTTATTTACATTTTGTGTTAAACAAGAAAATTTTTTTCTATTTTTTAGTTTAAATTTTTTGGTTTTATCAAACTGATCTTCGATAAATATATTCTTTATATTCTAATCCAGTCAAATTCTGGTTTAAAGTTATAAAAGAAATGCATTAATTATCAAGAAGAAAAAATGTAAAAAATCAAAATTTTTGATTTTTATATTATAAATCTTCTAAAGAATTGTGGATATAAAATATGTGCCTTGAAGAATTATTATTAAATGTTACATATATATATATAAAATAAATTATATAAAATTAAAGAAAATGTTTATATGAAAATAGTATTTTTCTTAATGCATTTCTAAAGGGGTGCTTCTATTTAAAATTCTCATCAAATCACCTCCAGGACACTCGATATATTCATTGAGTCGAGATAAAGGTCGTTAGGACGACGCAGACCAACGCAGGGAGACTCACTAACATCCTCGTATTTCCGGTGATTGTCCTCTTCCTTTAGGGAGACTCCACCTTCTTCCTTGGCGCTTCTTCCGAACAGAAAAAAATGTTAAAACATTAAATTCAAAAATTTAGCAACCGTCGCGTGGAAAAGATAGTTTAACATTTTTTTTAAACATTTTTATTAAAACCTGAATAAGTGAAATTCATGTAGAATATGTCAAAAGTCTTCCTTATACACAGAAAAATTATAAAGTATTAAAATAAGCTGCAACGCTTATTATTTTAATCAAATTTTGCTTATTTTAATACCAAAATGGATTAAAATAAGCAAAATTGGATTAAAATAATAAGCGTTGCAGCTTATTTTAATGCCTTTTAATTTTCTGTGTATATATTTGTTACTGTCGATAGTATAGTTACAATCCTTGCAAAAATTACAATTTGAAATAGTTTTAATTTTTGATAGTTATCGTATTGTTGTAATTTTTATTTGTCTCAAATAATCTCTCTAAATTTGAATCAGTGAAAAAGTCACTGGTCTCAAATCAGTCGCTAAATTCTAGCTATTTGAATCAGTAACATTTCACTGATTTTCAGTCAAAGTAATTGATTCTCCAGTGAATTGTCAGTGAAAACTACTGATTCAAATAGCTAGAATTTAGCGACTGATTTGGGACCAGTGACTTTTTCACTGATTCATATTTAGAGAGATTGGTTTCTTGATTATTATATCAAATAATTATTATTTGAGCCAACAAAATGGTATTTGTTTCCAAGTATAAATATTTATTTAATAATATTCAAGTAACTGATTATTTGAATCAATTGTTTTTTTTCATTGTAGTATTAATAAAAAAAATAAATATCTGTTAGTAGGAATGAAATATAAAATTCATTTCATAAATAAGTCGCATGTGCTATAATTCTAATTACTATTATAATAATGATAGAGGTTGACCAAAAAAACTCTCAGCGAAGCCTCAGACGAATTAACTCGCAAAAGATCAAAATGAATGAAAACGGCTATTTCTATAAGTGAGATGCAGAAAATAATACCCTTGTGTTATTATACAACACACCAAAAGGCAATTTGCATAAGCAAAAAACCATTTTGGAGTCTCGAGTTAAATTATTTTTTCGATATAATAATACATATAACCTACTTCTTTAGGAAACTGTGTCATTTCTCACATTTGTAGTTCTATACATATATATGTTGAGAGCACAAAAAAAAATTTTGCTTTCAACACTTGAGTGTAATTGTTTGTTGTCGTTTCTGAAAATTGGTTATTGGAGTTTGTAAATTACTTTGGCGAAAACCTGTTTTTTATGCCTTTGTGCTAAGGATTTGTTTTTGTTTCACGCGATATAATATAGTTTCCCCCTGTTTGGTTCACTTCGTTCTTAAATTATTCGTGTTCTGTCAAAATTATATACAAAGATCTAAAAACTGCACGACAAGGCTAACGTGAAGTTGTTAATTAACAAAATACCAAGTGAAGCTGTGTATAAAATAATTTTTCCAAAATCTTCAATGTAGCACATGAAGTGAATATTTAAAAAAAAACGTTTTATAAAATTTATATTTATAAAAGGTTCAAAATGTTGATGAATTTTCCATGTATATTGTTAAATATGTTTTTTTATATCATATAGATGGGATTTAAAAAAAAATCTTGATTAATTATATCTTGTATAATGAATATAGCAGTCAGTGTGTAATTGTGTATACGATGTTGTGGTCGTTGTAGATTGTCTAGAACAGAATTTATGCACATGATATACACGTCATGGATTTTGGTTACTTACAGTATATGTACTGGTCCGCGCTCTCATATCACAAATCACATGTTAGTGAATTATCAGTTTATATGCTTGTAGATACTAATCTTCGACGTGAGTATATATCTACGCATGTATGTACACAAACATAATTGTCATTCACTCTTCTTTTTATTGTCCATTTAAAATTATGCACCACGCACAAAGATCAATTTATCATGTCAATTGTGCATGTTAATCATATAACGATTATTATTATGTTTAATACAATATTATTGAGTTGTTTTTCTTTATTTAAATCAAACTTACAAGTTACTATAATTGAATTGTGTATGCGGTTTATTTATAACTGCCTTTTACTATAATGTTTTTTTATGAATATTATTATTAACTATAGGGAAGCGAAATAATTTTTAATATATTTTGCAGAATAATATATTTGAACTAAAAAAAATGTGTAGACAAGGCAAATTTTGTTCCTCGCAGTGTGTCTCTCTATGAGTCTTCTTATAATAGTGCATTGCTCCGGAAAAGTTATCATATCACAGCTCGCCTCATAAATTGCAGTGGGCAATTTATATCGAGAGGTCTTAATGCAACTATTACCATAAAGTAGGTGTATTACCAAGTATTATCTTCCTTCCGATCAGGATTTATTCAAGCAGACGAACAAACGCGTGTCTACGCGATAATTTGCCACTCGTCAATTTCTCAATTGCTTCATAAACGCGTTATTCGATTTTTATTTTATTTTTTTATTCCTAATATTTTTTTCAATGAAAAAATATAAACCTTTTTTATTTTCAATATATTTCTAGCAATGATTACATAGAATTTCGATTTTTATTAAAATTTTCAGTAGAACATAAGTTTACAGGTGCTTTAATGATTCTTGGATATATATATATATATATATTTAGAGAGAAAGAGATATTTCCCCGATGAAACATTTGTTGGCTTTTGATTTCTAAAATTAGAAATTTATTCGAAGTGACGGATTATTATATTTATTTTATTTGTACTGAAAAATAATTATTTAATTCAATTTGAAAAAAAACAATCCGTTACTTTATTATATTATTTCAAAGAAATTACCATCAACTTTTAATAACTATTATTTAATAATTATTATAATAACTATTATCCTTTCTAGAATAACTTTAAAGGTCCTAGAAAAAATGTTAAGGTTTTAGATAAACCTTAAAAATTGTAAATAGTATTTTTTTAAGGTTGTAAATTCAAACTGAAAGACTCTGGAACAAACTTTATGAATGTAAAACGCATCTTAATTTATAAGGTAGTAGAATAACTTTGAAGGGAGAAAACAATTTTTAAAGTTATAGAATAACCTTTAAGGATGTGTAACAAACTTTTAGGTTTTAGAATAACCTTCAAGCTTTTAAAGTAACCTTCAATTATAAAAAAAATTAAAGGTTCTAGAATAAACTTTAGAAATGTATTAATTAATAAAAGTATTCTCTTGCAAAAAAATTAGATGCATGAATACTCTTCAACGAAATTATAATTGGTTAATTTTAAAATTTGCGACTAAATATTTTTGTCAATTGTTTGTCGGACATTTGCAATTTCGGACAAATGGAAATTCAGTGTTTTAAGAATTCTGCATTTCCTAATTTATACGATTAATCAAAGTATACGGAATTTAATCAAATTTAGCTGGTTTTAAATGTATATCTTTTCCTGATCTCAGACCTATGTGTAAAATATTCAGTAACTCAGGAAAAAATTTCCTTTTCCTTGAAAGAATTTTTTCACTTATATCGTGAAAAAAATAAATAAAAGCTTTAGACAAATGACCTCGAAGATAATGGGCTCTAGGTCGATTACTTATGCAGTCTTGATAGCACATTATCCAGCTTGCATTGCTGCACGACTGCTTGCTTACCCTTTCGTAACGTGTACTTTATTCCTTCCAGATGCGTTCGTTTCGATAGCTACTGACGATCCGCTCGTTTAACAGTGTGTAACGGTGTTCGCGAGTTGAAGACGAAAAGGGGTACGTATTCTTAACGAAAACAAGCTCAACAATCAACGGTCATCTTCAGCGTGAAAAAAAAAAAAATGAGAAAAGGAAATTATCTTTTCACTTGCAGTTATAATAAACCACCTTTAAAGTAAAACTCGAATACTTATTACCCTTGTCACTATTGTAAATAACCGCGTAGCTTTTCAATTGTATTGTATGCAAAAACAAAAACTGCAAAGCACCACTTAATTAGTTAAATTTCGCATTATTTGATTCTATCATTAACGCTAATCAACATATAGAACGGCAGTTTTACGATCACGAAGATTATAAGAGGAAATGGGATGATATCTTCTAATTAAAAATTATGATAATTAACTATTATTAACGATCATTTCCGATTCGCTTTAAATTCTTTTTAATTTTTTTTTCTTCTTTCAATTTTTCTCCTTGTATTTCACGCAGAACAGAGATTCATTTTAGAATTAATATTTTATAATATAAATGTTAAAATTTTTTGTTATTGTAAAATATCAATTTAATATGTAAAAAACGCTGAAAACTATTAGTTAATATTTAGCCAGTAGAAAATGTTTTAAAAAAATAAATAAAATAAAAAACAGGAGTGGGGGGGTATTAATCCTATACAAATAAACTCTACACAAAAAAATTCTATCCTACACAATCTGTAAACTAAAAAATACTCACTGTACACTATAGTAAACTCTACACATTAATATATAAAAATGAAAATAAAATTATTTAATAACTCTACAGGAATACATTTTACATCAGCAAACTCTTATAAAAATAATTTATTTAATTTGTTTATAATTTTAGACAATTAAACTCTATACATAAAAATTATTATTAATCATTTTTGACTATTCGTAAAATTATACACAATTTAACTTAACATTTTTAAACTCTCCACATAAAATAAAAATAAATAAGCCCTATATAAATACCTAAACTCTAGACTTCATAAGTTCTGTACATTAAATATGAAAAAAATTAAATTCAACACAAGAAAACTCTACACATGGAAACTGCACACAATTTTTAGTTAAATGCCAATTGTGTACAATTTCCACATGTAGAGTTTTGTTGTATTAAATTTAATTATTTTTATTTAACTTGCAGAATTTATAATGTGTAGAGTTTAGGTATTTATATAGGGATTATTTATTTTTATTTTATAGAGTTTAAAAACGTTGAGTTAAATTTTGTATAATTTTACGAACAGTCAAAAATGATTAATGTGATTAATTAATTAATTAATGATTTTTATGTCTAGAGTTTAATTGTGTAGAATTATAAACTTTAATAAATTATTTTTTATAAGAGTTTACTGATGTAGAATGTATTTCTGCAGAGTTATTAAATAATTTTATTTTCATTCTTATACCAATATGTAGAGTTTACTAGTTTACAGTGTGTATTTTTGTTTCATTCCGTTGAGAATTTTATTGAATTAACTTGATAAATTTTTAATTAATTTTTAAATTAAAAATTTTTGTTTTAAGTTGATTGAATTTTTAATTTTTTTTTGTAATTTGTGCCTTGAATTTATATAAACAGAGAGGGTCTATTTTTTTTATCATTTGTGGTTTTGTATATAAGGATTAGAAAAATTTCGGTACGTTGATCCTCTTTCCTGTTACGAAGGGTGAATTTCTTTTACGTGGCCTTCAAGACGTGTGACAAATGTTTCGGCACGCGTCGCCTGATTTCTCGCAGAATAAAAAAAAAAAAAACGAAAAGAAAAAAAAAGTTGAAACTGTTAGAACCACAAAAAACGCACATGACGAAAAACACAAATGAGAAGCGTGCAAAGGGTCCAAGGGATGTGGGGGATGGATTTCAAAATCATTTTCCAGTTTCTCTGTCATTTCTCCGTCATGTTATTTCCGGTGGTTGGTTTCCTCTTAAAAAGTCGTTGGTAACTAAGATTTTTTTTTCTCTTTTCGAATATGTTTAGTGGTTGATGTACTTAGCATTTCTCAAAAATAGAATACAAGATGCTTATTAGGAAAAAATTTCCTTTCACCTTCAAACCAAACCTAATATTTTTTTTAGATAAAAACTTAAAAATATAACAGCAACAAATTTTTCTTATGGAATAAAAATATTTCATACAATATATTTTTTTTTTTGTGAAATATTATTTTATGTTGGTATTTTAAGTATTTGTATATTTTATAATATAGGTTGCATTTTCTGTAATAATTACTGAGCCTATAATAATATATATTTTTAAATTTATTTTAATTATAACAAATTGTTTTTATTCTCCAGTTTATAATTACTTTTTGAATTTTTATATTCTACTTTAAAAAAATATATACTTTTATTAGCATTACGCGCTTGCAATTAATTAAAAAATTTTTTCTTCGACTCTGTGAAGTACTTTCATTGAAATATTAATCATGATCATAAATAACAGACGTTCGTAATTAAAACCAATCTAATGACTTCATATGCATCATTATACGTTATATATCATTTTAATATAGTGTGAATTCTCAAAAATGATGAACACCTCTAAATAAGTAAATTTTCTTCCGTTTTCAATTTGGAAGCACTAATTCTTTTAAATTTATAATATTCATTTTATTTATTAAGTAAAAATTGTCTTGAGGCTATTAAATTAATTAATAATTAAATTTCAAATATATTTAATTATTTATATTAGTAATGATATCTAAGCAATCGAGATGATTGGAATTTGATTTTCTTGTTTTTCGACAATAAAAACAGTTTGAAGTAAAATATAATAATAATAAAATTCAACGGTATTTGTTGATGGGTGACAAGGGACATATTTCTTGAAAGTTGTATATAAAGTCTCTCCTAGAAGTACCTTACTGAATCACAAATCGAATAGAATAACTGAACTGTAAAGTGCAACACATTCACATGGTAGCGGTCCAGATTAAATTTAGCTTTTATGACGATTCGACCGTAAACTGAAAATGCGAGTTGCAAATCAACCTACCGTAGAAAATATGATGGGCCATCTATTTTCAGCTGGGCTATAATTAAAAAAATGTATCTCAAAAAATAGTTTCTAAACACATATTGCTAAATTATAAATATTCAATATATTATATTTTGATTCATAGATTTTTGAAAAAAATTATTTGATTCCAAATAATTTAGGAAATACATGATTATTTATAAAGTGAATATTTACAATATTTAGTTCATTGAAATACATTTTTTTAGCTTAATAAAAATTAACTTTTGTTATCTAAAATCAATATTTCTATATACTGTAGTGTATAATAGAAATATTTATTCTGATTAAATAATTTATATTATATTGACCTAATTAATAACAATCACGTAGTTACTTCTCATTTTCTATTCTAAACACATTGATCTAACTTGACATATTAACAATAGAAAAAAATAACTGTATTTGCTCTATGGCTTATTCACTATATGTATATATAATGAAAAATTATTACATTTCAAGTCAATTCCATTGTAATGTTCTTAAATTTTGTTTTAAAATACGAAATCCTTTATTTGTTACAAATATAAATTTTTATTTGGCACATAAAAAAATTTATTTGAAATAAATACCTAAATATTTATTAATTGAGAAAATATTTTTTCTCTACGTGTAATAGAATTAAAGAAAATTTTCTTAAAGAAGTGTTTTTTGAAAATAAAAAACATTTTTTCGAATCAAAGGAAGCTTTTTTTAAATTTAAGAAACATTTTTTTAACCTTATGTTCATAAGAGAAATTTTCTAATTTAAACAATTTTTTTCCCCTTCAAACATTGAATAAAAACTGATCTGTGAATGTTCGTCTCATATATACGCGTATAATATGTTCTTTGAATTCAATAAAACATTTATTGACAGTATCTGCTGTCATGAAGTGATTATATGAGCTATAGTCACCCGGTAGTTACCAATAAAATCTCGTAAAACTAATACTGACATTATGTGAGAGATAGCCTGTAGTGAGCATTAGTTTTATTGCAATGGACCATTGTTGAATGATAGTATTACCAAGATTGCCAGTTAAAATAATAGCTGTCACTCTATACTCTGTCTACAAAACAATGTTCTTATACATCTATCTATCAGGTCTATGACCCTAAAAAAAATTTTAAGATTACCTTTTTATCTCAAGAGGTAAAATTTCTCGAGAAATAATTTAAAAAATTGAAATCACCCCACAAAATATTGTTTTTTCTTTTACTAAATTCTAAAAGAATAAATCATTTTTACATTAAATTGAGTGAACAAAAAGCTGCATCTATTGTTAGAATTAGAAAGTATAAATGGCACTCAAAAGTAGAGTATACTTGAAATTCCAAAACGTGCTACAGTATTAATATACTTTATAACTGTATTACACGGAAAGAAATTTAGTAGCAATATTTGATAAATCTGATAGGAAATTTTAGTATTCTCTTTTTCAAACGCGGAATATTTGGGTTTGATAACGAAAATCGGTATATTTTTACCAATAGTCTTTTTAGTAAATATATTCCAGAAATTGAAATTATTATTTCGTAAATTGATATACGAAAAACCAGAAGTAAGTTAAACCGACGCGCACTTCGTTATTTACTAAATTTATATGAAAATTTGGAAAGATTATTTCGAAATTTGTTAAAACTATACTAAAAATTCGAAGTGGTTCAGTCGTGACAGATGACGACAGAAACACCAATAGATTCTTTGCCAAAGTTTTATCTCTTTCTCATCTCGAGGATAGACGAGGATATGAACTTTTAAATGCACACACACACACACACCTACACCGCATTGTTTTACATCGATTGGCTTATTTTTATTCCTAACCTATACTAACGATAATACGTATATCATTCGCAGAATAACGCTTCATATACAAATTTACGCTCATGTGAAAAACTGATGTGACCATTCTTATATACTAACCAGACATATTTTTCACCGCTTATGAGAAAGGTGAAATTATATCAAAACATGTTTAAAAATATAAATAAAAATCATTATTTATTGGGAAATAATTAAATATTTTATTATTTTTTGAAGAACAATTTTTTTTACTGATTTATTGTAAAATCTTCGAAATTAATTATATAAAAGAAATTCAGGTCTGTATCAAGATAATGGTAAAAAGGGGCTTGTCTAAAGAGCTTCGTCAGTCTCCGTTACCACTCGGTGAGGATCGGGCAATTCCGAACGTTCAACTTCGGCAAATTTCGTCGA